CCCCAAACCCCCAAACCCCAAAACCCCAAAACCTCTAAGCGGAGATTACTGTTTTAAAATGATTTTAGATATCAATAAATTAGGGAGTTAATGTAGTTTATATAAATCAAAAATGATTAATGCAGTAATATTGCTGAACGATGACCTGGACAATGTCAATGATTGCAACTCTTATAAAACATGCAAGTCCTCGCACATGGCTAAGAGTTAATCAAACATGTTCTTTCTACTTTCTGTATCAATACCTCGTCCTCTTTTCCCAAGTAAGTCCCCTTCAAGTTATTCAAATATCGAAGCAAAAACTAATTCCATACAATACAAATCATCTTAAATTAAAATAGTTGCGGGTTACCCCTTAATTTATCATCATTTGAGAAGTCTCTCGAAGATAGAGCAAGTTTAGAATGTTTTCCTTGTGGGAAAATATGATCCTAAAAAGTTTACCTATTTTATCGATGAGATTCTGAGCTAGTTTTCTTTTAAGTCTGTCTAGTATATTCATGATGACGTGCCTAAAAATGAAATTGGGGTGCTTTTCAAATACAGGGATAATTTTCTCCTGGACAATCCGTAAGCCACAGTCATTTTTTATCCTTATTTTAGTGAACATCTGTTTCTCATGAGATACAAGATATGCAGTAGCTTCCCTCTAGCAGATATCATCCAGTTTCACAGAGAAAAGGAGAGAAGAATGGATTAATATCAATATAGCATGCGTGACTCTAAGAAGTTCACAGAAGACCCTCAAAATAAAAACCTAGCTTTGATTACTGCTGTGTCTGTTGACTAAGAGCACAATACAGGCAAAAACTTTTCTTGTTTTGCCATGAATAAGGACACTAATGAGATGCTTCATTATTGTGAAAACTCAAGTAATAAGTATAGCAACTTGATAAACTGCGGGATATACTTCATTTCAGTTAGATTTTATACTGAGTTCGGAGTGGCTTGTTCCTTAGTTGAGGATCAAGATCATACAATGAGCCAGGGTTAGCTTGACAATGATGAAAATTCTAACTATGCAGGCTGTTCAACACCTAAGGATCACTAGAATTCAACAATATCAGGCTCAGACTTTATCAAAAATTACGCACAGATTACAAATCCTCAAAACTTATAAGCAGCTGATTAAAAATCCTAATAATTCTAGGACTCGTTTACATATCTTAACTCAATGGAAAGTTCTTTGACAGTTAAAGAACTTTTCATGGCGCTGTGTGGAAAGAAGAAGGCATATATTTACGAAATTGACAAGAGTAAGGACTTCATTTAGGAGATAATAAGACATGAAGATAAACTGAGTTGCTAGAATATGTATTTTTTGCACTACAGTAAAGCTTGCCCATAAATGCTTTAGGGTCCAAATGAATATGTCAAAATTCAAACTATAGGAATTTGCTTTATTCATCCAACAGCTGAAATTCACCCTGGTGCCTTAGTAAGTTTATTGTTTAGAATTTATTTTCATTTAGATTGGCCCAAATGTATCAGTTGGAGCTTATGCTAAGATTCACGAAGGCTGTAGAGTTATTAACTCAATTATTTTGGAGGACGCTGAGATATAATCTAACTCTGTAGTAATAAATAGTATGGTAGGATGGAATGCTAAGATTGGTCCTTGGTGTCGAATTGAGGGCACTCTTTTCTCAGATGAGAAATCAAAGTAACTCTAAGGTTAAAAATTTGACGTCAGCGTCCTAGGAGTTGGCGTGGTGGTGGACCCAGAAGTAATGCTGAGAAACTGTCTGGTAATGCCTTTTATCAATATCAAATAGAACAACACTGATCGTATTCTATTTTGATTAACTTGGTACTTCACTCTCATTCTTACACATTAGAGTGAAATTGTATCCACCCTTGATAGTATCTTGACATTTAAATACGAAACCTATAGTTTCAACAGCCGAAGATTTTATTTACTAGTAAACGAACACCTTTATTTTTACCTTTTTGCATTTGTATCTTTTGATGCTAAGTACAATCAACACCATGGGGTTTTGGGGTTTTGGGGTTTTGGGG